CACTCCAAAAACGTACCAAATGGTAAAGACCATTAATACAATGAAGAAACTGTGTCCACTAATGGGCAAAACAACCAGCTAGTATCAAAATGGTAGGATCAAATTCACACTTAACAATACTAACCTTAAATGTAAACAGGCTAAATGCCCCAATCAAAAGACACAGACAGGCAAATTGGATAGAAAGCCAAGACTCATAGGTGTGCTGTATTCAGGAGACCCATCTGACATGCAAAGACACACACAGACTCAAAATAGAGGGATGGAGGAAGATTTACCAAGCAAATGTAGAGGAAAAAAAAAAAAGGAGGGGTTGCAATCCTAGTCTCTGATAAAATTCACTTTAAACTAACAAAGATCAAAAGAGACAAAGAAGGGCATTACATAATGGTAAAAGGATCAATGCAACAAGAAGAGCTAACTATCCTAAATATATATGCACCCAATACAGGAGCACCCAGATACATAAAGCAAGTTCTTAATGACTTACAGAGGCTTAGACTCCCACACAATAATAGTGAAAGACATTAACACTCCACTGTAAATATTAGATCAACAAGACAGAAGATTAACAAGGATATCCAGGACTTGAACTCGGATCTGGACCAAGTGGAACTAGTAGACATCTACAGAACTCTCCACACCAAATCCACAGAATATACATTCTTCTCAGCACCACATTGCACTTACTCTAAAACTGACCACATAATTGGAAGTAAATCACTCCTCAGCAAATGCAAAAGAACAGAAGTAATAACAACCAGTCTCTCAGACCACAGTGCAATCAAATTAGAACTCAAGATTAAGAAACTCACTCAAAACCGCACAACTACATGGAAACAGAACAACCTGCTCCTGAATGACTACTGGATAAATAATGAAGGCAGAAATAAAGATGTTCTTTAAAACTAATGAGAACAAAAACACAACATACCACAATCTCTGGGACACATTTAAAGGAGGGTCTAGAGGGAAATTTATAGCACTACCTGCCCACATGAGAATTGAGGAAAGATCTAAAATTGACACCCTGCCATCACAATTAAAAGAGCTAGAGGAACAAGATCAAACAAATTCAAAAGCTAGCAGAAGACAAGAAATAACTAAGATCAGAGCAAAATTGAAGGAGATAAAGACACAAAAACCCCTTCAAATTTTCAAAAAATCCAGGAGCTGGGTTTTTTTTTAAAGATCAACAAAATAGATAGACAGCTAGCCAGACTAACATAAAAAAAAAGAGAGAAGAATCAAATAGATGCAATAAAAAAGGATAAAGGCGATATCACCATCGATTCCACAGAAATACAAACTACCATCAGAAATTACTACAAACATCTCTATGTACATAAACCAGTAAATCTAGAAGAAATGGATAAATTCCTGGACACTTACACCCTCCCAAGTCTAAACCAAGAAGAAATTGAATCCCTGAATAGACCAATAACAAGGTCTGAAGTTGAGGCAGCCATTAATAGCCTACCAACCAAAAAAAACCAAGTCCAGACAAGTTCACAGCCGAATTCTACCAGATGTACAAAGAGGAGCTGGTACCATTCCTTCTGAAACTATTCCAAAGAACACAAAAAGGGGGAAGCCTCCCTAACTCATTTTATGAGACCAACATCATCTTGATACCAAAACCTGGCAGACAGAACTAAAAAAGAAAATTTCAGGCCAATATCCATGATAAACATCAATGCAAAAATCTTCAATAAAATACTGGCAAGCCAAGTGCAACAGCACATCAAAAAGCTTATTCATCATGATAAAGTCGGCTTCATCCTGGAGATGGAAGGCTGGTTGAACAGATGCAAATCTATAAACGTAATCCATCACATAAAACCAAAGACAAAAATCATATGATTATCTCAATAGATGCAGAGAGGGCCTTTGACAAAATTCAACAGCCCTTTATGCTAAAAACTCTCAATAAACTAGGTATTGATGGAGCATATCTCAAAATAATAAAAGCTATTTATGACAAACCTACAGCCAATATCATACTGAATGGGCAAAAACTGGAAGCATTCCTTTTGAAAACTGGCACTGGACAAAAGTGCCCTCTCTCATCACTCCTATTCAACATAGTATTGGAAGTCCTAGCCAGGGCATTCAGGCAAGAAAAAGAAATAAAGAGTATTCAATTAGGAAAAGAGGAAGTCAAATTGTCTCTTATTTGCAGATGACATGGTTGTATATTTAGAAGACTCCATCGTCTCAGCCCAAAATCTCCTTAAGATGATAAGCAACTTGAGCAAAGTCTCAGGATACAAAATCAGTGTGCAGAAATCACAAGCATTCCCATACACCAAAAACAGACAAACAGCCAAGTCATGAGCGAACTCCCATTCACAATTGCTACAAAGAGAATAAAATACCTAGGAATACAACTAACAAAGGACATGAAGGATCTCTTCAAGAAGAACTACAAACCACTGCTCAAGGAAATAAGAGGACACAAACAGATAGAAAATCCTTCCATGCTCATGGTTAGGAAGAATCAGTATCATGAAAAAGGCCATACTGCCCAAAGTAATTTATAGACTCAATGCTATCCCATCAAGCTACCATTGACCTTCTTCACAGAACTGGAAAAAAAAAAAAACACTTTAAACATTATATGGAACCAAAAAAGAGCCCACATAGCCAAAACAATCCTAAGCAAAGAAAACAAAGCTGGAGGCATCACACTACCTGACTTCAAACTATACTACAAGTCCACAGTAATCAAAACAGCATGATACCAGTACCAAAACAGAGATATAGACCAATAGAACAGAACAGAGACCTCAGAAGTAATGCCACACATCTACAACCATCTGATCTTTGACAGATGTCACAAAAACAAGCAATGGGGAAAGGATTCCCTGTTTAATAAATGGTGTTGGGAAAGCTGACTAGCCATGTGTAGAAAGCTGAAACTGGACCCCTTCTTTACACCTTATACTAAAATTAACTCCAGATAGATTAAAGATTTAAACTTAACACCTAACAGCATAAAAACCCTAGAAGAAAACCTAGGCAGTACCATTCAGGACATAGGCATAGGCAAGGACTTCATGATGAAAACACCAAAAGCAATGACAACAAAAGCCAAAATAGACAAATGGGATCTAATTAAACTAAAGAGCCTCTGCACAGCAAAAGAAACAATAATTAGAGTGAACCAGCAACCAACAGAATGGGAAAAATTTTTGCAAGCTACCCATCTGACAAAGGGCTAATATCCAGAATCTACAAAGAACTAAAACAAATATGCAAGAAAAAAACCAACAACCCCATCCAAAAGTTGGCAAAGGATATGAACAGTCACTTTTCAAAAGAAGACATTTATGCAGCCAACAAACATATGAAAAAATGTTCATCATCACTGGTCATTAGAGAAATGCAAATCAAAACCACATTGAGATACCATCTCACGCCAGTTAGAATGGTGATCATTAAAAAATCTGGAGATCACCTTAAACTTACATTTGGAACCAAAACGAGCCCACATAGCCAAGACATCTCCAAAAGATGCTGGAGAGGATGTGGAGAAATAGGAATGCTTTTACCTTGTTGGTGGGAGTGTAAATTAGTGTGGCAACTCCTCAAGGATCTAGAACTAGAAATACCATTTGATCCAGCAATCCCATTACGGGGTATATACCCAAAGGATTATAAATAGTTCTATTATAAAAACACATGCACATGTATGTTCACTGCGGCACTGTTTACAATAGCAAAGAATTGGAACCAACCCAAATGCCCATCAATGATAGACGGGATAAAGAAAATGTGCAACATATACACCATGGAACACTATGCAGCTATAAAACAGGATGAGTTCATGTCCTTTGCAAGGACATGGATGAATCTGGAAGCCATCATTCTCAGCAAACTGACACAAGAAAACAAAACCAAACACCACATGTTCTCACTCATAAGTGGTGTTGAACAATGAGAACACATGGACGTAGGGAGGGGGACATCACACACTGGGGTCTGTTGCGGGTGGGAGGCTAGGGGATGGATAGCGGGGGGGGAAATTGGGGAGGGATAACATTAGGAGAAATACCTAATGTAGGTGACATGGGGATGGAGGCAGCAAACCACCATGGCATGTGGATGTAACAGTCCTGCAAGATCTGCACATGTACCCCAGAACTTAAAGTAAAAAAAAATTTTTAATGTCATTATGAAAAAAAAAAGAAACCACCCAAATGATCTACTCACCTCCCACCAGACCCACCCCATCTCAATTCAATGTAAGATTTGGGTGGGGACACAGAGCCAAACCATATAAGCCAGCATGGTCAGATTCTGGTGAGGGCCCTCTCTTAGTTCACAGACTGCTGTCTGCTCTTGTCTCCTCAGATTGCAAGGAAAAAGAAAGAGGGAGAAAACAAAGTCTCTCAAAGCTCTTCTTAGAAGGGGGCACTCATCCCATTCATGAGAGCTTCACTCTCATGACTTAATTACCTCCCAAAGGCCCCACTTCAGAATGCTGTCACACTGGGATTTAGGCTTGACATATGCATTTGTTGGGAGAGACACAAACATTCAGTCCTTAACAATCACTAAATAAGTTCAAGCCCCATTCTCAAAAAAAAAAAAAAAAAAAAAAAAAAACAGAACAAATTTGGCAACTGAGTAAATGAAGGAAATAATATTTCAATTTCTTTGTGTCAAGAAATGGAAAGGAACTAATGGCTAATACAAAAAAAGTTGTTTGAAATTCCCTTATTAGTAATAAGTATTTGTTATAATAAGAGAGATTTCTTACATTTTTCACAATAAGTGACAAATTCTGTATTTTCCTAGCCAAAATTAGAGATGGTAAAAAATCCAACATAAGTGATTTCACACCTTTTTTGTTGTTGTTGTTTCCCTAATCAGTAAGGAATGGACTTACTTTTCTTTTTTTTCAGAATGAAAAGGTACAAATGAAAAATGTCTTCTTCGTTTTATTTTAAAATGAATAACATTTTTAATATGTTTGTCTCCCTACTTTTTAAAAGGAATTTAGAGCAAAGTCAAGAGAATGGGACAAGCAAGAGATACTATATCAGACTCATCTGATTTCTTTAGATGCTCAACAAAAATTATTATCTGAGAAGTATAATCAGTTTCAGGTAAGTTATTTAATACTAGTTTAAATCAGAAGAAAGTGGAGGTTAGATATTTATATATTTACCATTCAGCATGTAATCTATTTACAAATAGAAATGCCAACTAAAAAAAGTAACCAGAATAGGTCCAAAGGTGGGTATAGCCATAAGTGCATAGAATATCTGTTAATGTTGAATTTAGTCTACATGTCTCAAAGGATGGAGCTATTTAAAATTCCATTGTTATTGTGTCATTAAATAGTGTATGTTTTTGTATGCCTACAGGCAAGGCACTCACTCTAAGATTGCTTGCTTTACTTTGTATTTCCCTGGCTACTTTTAAGACTGAGCATCTCCACATATGATTTTTAGCCTTTCTCAGGTATTTCTGTGAATTGTCTATTCATAAACTTTGCCCATTTTTCTTTACATTAGGACTTATTAATTCTGTTACATACACTGACAACTTTTCCCCTACAATTGAGTTTTTTATTTTATTTATTTTTGGTTATAGAGACTTTTTTCAACCATTGTATAATTGAATTCATATTTTTTTTACACCTTCTAGATTTTTTTCTTGCTTAATATGGCTTTTCTATCACTAACCCACTTCCCTACTCTACATCTGAGGTTATACAAATATATTTTCTCTTTATGCCATCTGAAATTGAAATTTTAAAACAAATACAAGACTGAATTACAAAGGACCAACTTTCATTATCTAGTATCATATTTAAAGATATTCGTACTAATTCTTTTGTATCATTCTTGAACTTCATGTAAGCTTAAATATGACATTCTTCATTTTAGTTACACAGTTTTTATATTTTTCAGAAACAGGCACAAAGTTACCAAACTCAACTAAATGGTAAAAAACAATGCTTAGAAGATAGCAGCTCTGAAATTCCTCATTTGATATGTGACCCAGATCCCAATTGTGAAATCAGTGAAAGAGATGAGTTCATTATTGAAAAACTAAAATCAGCTGTGAGTGAAATAGCACTAAGCAGGAATAAGTTACAAGATGAAAATCAGAAGCTCTTGCAAGAACTGAAAATGTACCAAAGACAGTGCCAGGTAAAGATTAATTTTTTGTTTTTCAGCTTATATTGTCCATGACTTGTTATAAATGGTAACTCAACAGATGTAGGTATTAGAATGGCAGTTTTCTATCATTAATACATGTGAAGATTCTCTACATACTACTTCCCAGTAATTCGCACTTAATGGGTAGATTCAATAATTCCATAAGTATTTTACACACTTAGAGTGCACTTTGGTTTCACAGTGGCATAATAATAATGTATTATCAGTGCAATGTAACAGTGGTCACTTACAGACCTCTATGCCTTTAGCCACGTACCACCCTCTTCCCCCACTATTTTCTCTGACCCTGTGTCTCTTTGACTCAGAAGAATCCTGGGTTAAAGATACAGGAAATCATGAAGGGTTCAACAATCTAGTAACCTCAGTGAGAGCTATGGAGGTGACTCTAGTGATTTATCACTGGTAACCTTATCATAATCATTTATCAAACAGTAACCTAGAATTTATTTTTAGGTAACTTTCACATTGGCAAATATGATTGATGGTTTAACAAGCATTAATTTTTTTCTTTTTTGTCTATTTCTTGCAATCATTAGGAAGGTTATACAGCATTCATCAAAATTGGTCATTACCAATTTCTTTACAAAATATGTATTTCTTATTCATTAGTACTTGACACATTCTTTTATCTCCCATTTTAGGTTTTTTCTCCCACCTCCAAATATTTAGCCTCTTTTTACCACTTCCTCCATGACAGTTGGCACATCTCTTTTCCCCACTCAACTACCTCCTCTTCCTAACATACATGATTGAGGTGAGATCACTGCCTGAGAACTTCCATTTCATTTTGCTGAGATACACCACCCCAGGATCTTTTGCCACTTAAACCCCCAGGGTCATTTCTTAATCCTGGACCAACTCCTCATTCCCCCACCCTGCCACATTATATTTGGGATTATATAAAGAGTTAGTTAACTTATTTATCTGCCAGCATCTACTGTTCTATGTTCCTCTTTCTCCATGTTTGGGAAGGGACAGAACACAAGGCTCCAGTCTCTCCTATTTAGAGGTGATTCTAAGACATACATATATGCCACCTCAAACTCCAGCTTTAAGGAGGGAGGTCTTATTCTAATACAAGTTAGAATACAGATGTAAACCAACAAAGCAAGCTAAACTGCAAACACTAAATGCAGAGAAAGCCAGACATTGTCTCAAAATAGAAAAGGTGTTGATGGTGTTTTCTCTGCCTTCATTCTAATATAAATGAGGTTAGCACTCATTCTTCTGCTCTAGGGGTTGCCTAGACGCTTCTAAGTGCTTAGCATCATCACTCCTCTGACTGTCTGAGCTGTTGTTTGCATGACTGCCAATTGTGCAGTGATGGGGTCTTTCCTTCTCAGAGGCTGCTGCCTTTTGCTTCCCTGGCTATATGACAACTGATCATGCCTTCAAGTTAAAGGCAACCTAAACTTAAATTTTGCAGCTGTCTTTGTACTGCTGGAATCTGCATCAGAATCACATTCAGTAAATAAGAAAATTGTTTTTCTTGGTACTTCCCAAGTATTCTCCTCTAGGCTTTAGGTCATCCAGTGCAAACTAAAGCATTCTCTGTTTTGTCCCTTCTTCTTTTGACAGGGGAAAAGGTGGTGGTTGGTTACATGAATAAGTTCTTTACTGGTGATTTCTGAGATTTTGATGCACCCATCACCTGAACAGTGTACACTGTACCCAATTTGTAGTATTTTATCCATCACTGCCCCACCCTTTCCCCTGAGTCCTCCAACATCATTCTTATGCCTTTGCATCCTAATAGCTTAGCTCCCACTTATGAGTGAGAACATAAGTAGGAGCCATAACCAAATGATGTTTGGTTTTCCATTCCTGAGTTACTTCACTTAGAATAATGGTCTTTAATTTCATCCAGGTTGCTGCGAATGCCATTATTTTGTTTCTTTCCATTGCTGTGTAGTGTTCCATGATAAGTATATGCCACAGTTTCTTTATCCACTCATTAATGATAGACATTTGGGCTGGTTCCATATTTTTGCAATTGCAAATTGTGCTGCTATAAATATGTGTGTGCAAGTATCTTTTTCATTTAATGACTTCTTTTCCAATGGGTAGATACCTAGTAGTTAGATTGCTGGTTCAAGTGGTAGATCTACTTTTAGTTCTTTAAGAAATGTCCACACTGTTTTCCGTAGTGGTTTTACTAGTTCACATTCCTACCAACAGGGTAAAAGTGTTCCCTTTTCACCATATTCACACTCACATCTATTATTATTATTATTATTTTTTGATTATGGCCATTCTTGCAGGAGTAAGGTGGTATTGCATTGTGGTTTTGATTTGCATTTCCCTGATAATTAGTGATGTTGAACATTTTTTCATGTTTGTTGGCCATTTGTATATCTTCTTTTGGGAATTGTCTATTCATGTCCTTAGCCCACTTTTTAATGGGATTGTTTTTTCTTCCTGATTTGTTTGAATTCCTTATAGATCCTGAATAGTAGTCCTTTGTCAGATGAATGATTTGTGAAGATTTTCTCCCACTCTGTGGGTTATGTGTTTACTCTACTGATTATTTATTTTGCTGTGTAGAAGCTTTTTAGTTTTATTAGGTCCCATCTATTTATCTTTGTTTTGATGCATTTGATTTTGGGTTCTTGGTTATGAAGTCTTTGTCTATGCCAGTGTCTAGAAGGGTTTTTCAAGTGTTATTTTCTAGAATCTTTATGGTTTCAGGTCTTAGATTTATGTCTTGATCCATCCTGAGTTAATTTTTATATAAGGTGAGAGATGAGGATCCAGTTTCATTCTTCTCCAGGTGGCTTACCAATTATTCCAGCACCATTTGTTGAACAAGGTGTTCTTTCCAGACATGTTTTTGTTTGCTTTGTCAAAGATTGCCTGTATTTGGCTTTATTTCTGGGTTCACTATTGTGTTCCATTGGTCCATGTGCCTATTTTTATACCAGTACCATGCTGTTTTGGTGACCATGGTCCTATAGTATAGGGTATTTGGTAATTTGATGCCTTCAGATTTGTTCTTTTTGCTTAGTCTTGCTTTAGCTATGCAGGCTCTTTTTTGGTTCCCTATGAATTTTAGGATTTTTTTTTCTAATTCAGTGAAGAATTATGGTAGTATTTTTATGGGAATTGCATTGAATTTGAAGATTGATTTTAGCAGTACGGTCAGTTTTACAATATTGATTCCACCCATCCATGAGATGGGATTTGTTTCCATTTGTGTCATCTGTGATTTCTTTCAGTAAGGTTTTGCAGTTTTTCTTGTAGAGGTCTTTCACCTCTTTGGGTAGGTATATTCCTAAGTATTTCTTTTGGTGGTTTTTTTTTTTTTTTTTTTTTTTGAGTCTTTAGTGGATTCTCAGCTCAGTCACTGTTGATATATAGCAATACTATTGATTCGTGTGCACTGATTTTTGTATCCTGAAACTTGACTGAATTTATTTATCAGTTCTAGGAGTTTTTTGGATGAATCCTTAGGGTTTTCTAGGTATACAATCATGTCATCGGTTGACAGAGACAGTTTGACTTCCTTTTTACCAATTTGGATGCCCTTTATTTCTTTCTCTTGTCTGATTGGTCTGGCTAGGACTTTCAGTACTGGATTGAATAGAAGTGCTGAGAGTGAGCATCCTTGTCTTCTCCCAGTTCTCAGGGGGAATGTTTTCAACTTTTCCCCATTCAGTATAATGTTAGCTGTGGGTTTGTCATAGATGGCTTTTATTACCTTAAGATACATTTCTTCCATGCCAATTTTGCTGAGGGTTGCTACATGTTGGGGATGCTACATGTTGTCAAATGCTTTTTCTGTGTCCATTGAGATGATCATGTGATTTCTGTTTTTAATTCTGTTTATGTCGTGTATTGCATTTATTGACTTACATGTTAAACCATCCCTACGTCCCTCATATGAAACCCACTTGATCATGGTGGATTATCTTTGTGATTCAGTTAGCTAGTATCTTGTTTAGAGTTTTTGCATCTATGTTCTTCAGGAATATTGGTCTAGTTTTCCTTTTCTCTTACATCCTTCCTGGTTTTGATATTAGGGTGATACTGGCTTTATAGCATGATTGAGGGGTGGATTCCCTCTTTATCTTTTAGAATAGTGTCAATAAGACTGATATCAATTCTTCTTTGAATGTTTGATAGAATTTAGCTGTGAATCTGTCTGGTCCTAGACTTTTTTTTGTTGGCAATTTTCATATTACCATTTTTTTTTCTTTTCTCTTTCTTTTCTTTTCTCCTTTCTTTCTTCTCTTTTCTTTTCTTTCTTTTCTTCTCTTTTCTTTTCTTTTCCTTTCTTTATCTTTTCTTTTCTTTTTTGGACAGTGTCTCACTCTGTTGCCCGGGCTGGTGTGCAGTGTCACAATTTCGGCTCACTGCAAACTCCATCCCCCAGGTTCAAGTGATTCTCCTGCCTCACCCTCCTGAGTAGCTGGGATTACATGTACCCACTACCACACCTGGATAATTTTTGTATTTTTTAGTAGAGACGGGGTTTCCCCATGTTGGCCAGGCTTGTCTCAAACTCCTGAGCTCAACTGATCTGCCTGCCTTGGCCTCAAAAAGCACTGGGATTCAGGCATGAGCCACTGCACCCAGCCTATATTACCATTTCAATCTCCTTGCTTGCTATTGATCTGTTCGGAGTTTCTGTTTCTTCCTAGTTTAATCTAGGAGGGTTGTATATTTCCAGGAATTTATCCACCTTCTCTAGGTTTTCTAGTTTGTGCATGTAAAGGTGTTCATAGTAGCCTTGAATGTTCTTTTGTATTTTAGTAGTCAGTTGGAATATCTCCTGTTTCATTTCTAATTGAGCTTATTTGGATCTTCACTCTTCTTTTCTTGGTTAATCTTGCTAATGGTCTATCAATTTTGTTTACCTTTTCTTTTTTTTTTTTGAGATGGAGTTTCCCTCTTATTGCCCAGGCTGGAGGGCAATGGCAGGATCTCGCCTCACTGCAACCTCCACCTCCTGGGTTCAAGAGATTCTCCTG